TGCTTTGTGTCATGCGGACTATTACACCATGGCAGGCATCGCTGTGGCAACTTGCCTGGCGCTTTGCCCCGCTGTGGGGTTGATGGGTCGGCGTGGGGGGCTGCTCACCTTCATGATCATAACAGCCCTGGCATCCCTACTACAGCTGGGTTTACTCAACTGTGAGTAATCACACAATTAAATACAAATCAGGACAAACAGACCGTTTGCTAAGTCCTGCAGCCATTAATTACTGCATTCTAGAGTTACACATATGCAATATGTATATGGTGATAAAACTCACTCAAAATGTGATGTAATTTTTGGAACAATGGTTATTTGATTTCGGACACAAGTAGATAAAAGCAGCTTCTCATTGTCAGCTGGCGATCGTTTATTTAGATGCCTGAAAGAGTTCTTGGAAAACCCTGCGCTGGGATCTTAACTATAGACTTGATTTTTACATTGATAATATCAGCTAACAGTGCTGTAACAAGACTAAAATGACTAAAGCTAAAATTTCTAGGTAAAAAAGTAATTTTCACCAGTGATCCAAGTCAAAAACTTGGATATAAAGAAGCAGCATTGTTGTTTGTTTTTCAAGTTTAAGCTAGTTAATCATTGTGTGTTATGATTTATGATTAGTCGTTGTATTTTCAAACAATATGTATCTTTTTTATTCGAGAAATGTTTCAAGCATGAGGAATAACCAATGAGTTTAGCAAATATATCTTAAGCCAGTAGCAGGACAGAGCAGCTAAAGTTACCCCAAACGCTGATGTATTGTTAGCATGATCCAAAACCAACGCCCAGTGGATTTGTCAGTTCTGAACGAGGCTTTTTCTAATTTGTCTTGTTACCCCACAACAGTATACATTTATCTAATGTTATGCTATCACGTGGCAGTAATGCTAAGTGAGAAGCTAGTTAGCATGACATGCTAACATTAGCATCTTACCTCAGCGCTCAAAAGCACACACTGAACACTGTTACTGTAGTTTTTTTGTTTTAGAAAGGCAAGAAAAAACCCTTCAAACTGTATGGTTTTTATGCATCATTCCTACTACTGACCCATGCACTTCACATGTTGAGAATACCCCAAAGCTTTAAGATACCTGCTGTGCATAGCTATGGTTGTTAAAATATAATTGGACAAATGCTGTTCTGGGAAAGTTTTAGCAAAGTTCATGTCAGAAAAATCTGTTCATAAAGTTATGTAAACTGTCTTGGACACACATTACCAAAAAAAAGAAAGTTGACATTCAACAGTGCACTAAGTTGTACTTGCATCCCTGTGTCATTAAAACCATACAGGCAGCAGTTCAACTCTCGGTCTAATAGGAGCCTCTCCTTTTCTGACCTACATATGCAGAACAGTAGTCATTATTTCAGGCTTCAGCGATAAAATGTTCCTGAGGGCTTTTTTATTCTGCTTGTTTTGAGTCAGCACTGTGCTGCCCTTCGTGCTAGAGACTAATGATATGTTCTCTCTTTTACTCTCCGATGCTCGCTAATGGAATCCAGTGATTGGGAAGTATAGCCTTCGCCATGACACAGGTACAGCTACAGTTTGATGATTTGTGATACATATTGATTCCTTTGAAATAATGAATTCCCCTATGAGCAGAGGGTTAGGCTATGATGTACTGTAATTTTTAGGTCCCTGTGAGATATTCTTATCTCTTTTGTGTGTTAAATTAGCTGTTTGTGTTTCATGTTGGGTGTTTCTGGTACTACTTACGTTTTCTTGTCCTCCTCTCTGCAGTTTTGCGAGACACTCTGAACAGGAAATTCTCTGTGGCCTTCTCCATCATCGGCATGTTCTCCTCTCATGCTGTCAGCACACTGAGTATATTCTTTTGTGCTGAAATCACTCCTACTGTGATCAGGTGAGTCTGGATGGTCATAAACACATATTACAACACTTAGGCAAACATTCTTACTTTTCATTACACCCATACATAATGGCTGACAGTAGGGCTCCAGATTGTATCTGAAATCCCTTCCAATATACTACTTATAGCAAACTCTATTTACTATGTGCCATTTTATTTGAGTGTCCAAATTCTTAGTGTTAAATTTGTGCACTCTTTTGAATTGAATGTAAAATATTTACATTCTTCGTCAGTGTCACAACAATGCTGTACAGGTGGCCCTCCAATAGCATAAACACAGGTGATGCCCTTTAAGGTAACTGGCATTAGCAACAATTATCCCAATGACTTCCACACTGTGAGGTACACACATTTCAAATGTGGAAAATGGAATCAGTACTTTGTATCGGCAGAGACTCTCAGTTGAGGTACTGGGAGAGAAAACGTTGGACCATTTTGCTGTCTCTTTGTTAAGTTCATCGAAAGTGCAAAGTCACAATTTAACTATCAGTCGGCACACATTAATATATTTTTCCTTTTAGTACAAAAAGGTATGGTACATTTATTTCTTATTATTATTTCTGCAAAAACAGTACACTTTGACAATTTCTGCGTAGTCCCTGCTGTAAATTATTACAATTTATGGAATCTTTGGACACAGCTGTTGTTTTCATTTTGCTTATTAGCTCCATCTTGTGGTTCAGCTTTGACTGACAGGTGAGTGTGGCTTTGATGCCCATAAAGGGCTCAGTACGCTTCAAACCAATACTTTGTATGAAGTTTTGTCCGAAGGTGTCTAAATGTGTTTATACCTGTTACGTGGATACACTTGAAGGGGGGGCCAATAAGTCTGCATCATAGAGAAGGGCGAGACAGGATAAATTGTACAAACGGGGGTAAAGGTGCAGACAGTCTTTCCTCAGAGGCATTGATGGTGTTGCACTTGTTTAGACACACAAGAAATAGCAGAAGTAGTTGTATGAAGTTGTGTGAAGACTGCGTGAAGTGGATTGTTGGTTTTGGAAAGTTACAAGAATTGCTGGAGACAGACCCCCAATTCTGAAGTTGAACAGGTGTGGGGGGGTGAGGTTTCAGACCCTGTTTGATAATTTGATGAAACAAGCACTTCATATGAAGTATAACGATGCTTTAAGAGCTCCTGCTGTTAGTTTTAGTCACACCAGACTACCTTGGTAATGGATCTACAACACTTTCTCTCTCTGTGCAGGGGTGGAGGGCTTGGTTTGGTCCTGGCCAGCGCTGGCTTTGGCATGCTCACAGCACCCATCATGGAGCTACACAACCAGAAGGGCTATTTCCTGCATCACGTGATCTTTGCCTGCTGCACCCTCCTGTGCATCATCTGCCTGCTGCTGCTGCCTGAGCCGCGGGGCCATCCACTGCCGGAGAGCCTGGCCGATGGAGAGACCTTCACCCGTCAGACCCTGCTCCATCCAGGAGAGCAGCACCTACTTCTCGCCAAGGGTGATGGGGATTACTCCCGAGTCCATGACACACCGTTACACCTCTCAGCCACTGGGGGCGCTACAGTGGCAGTAGCCACCGCTCTGGCAGCGGTCCCTGCCACATACGCCCTGGCGACTGGCGGGGAGGTTATTGGAAATTGTGCCATAGCCAATGGGGTGTGAGCATCATAGCAATTGTCTGCTACTGTGCTACTAATGGCTCAAGCATTAACCTGACTGAATTGTCCTTGAACTTGTGAAAAAACTTTTAAGGGAAAAAAAGAATCTTTTGGATGAACCAGATGAACTCTTGTAACGGTGAATATGAGATGGTGACGATAGTAAATTTGTGTAGTTTGTAGTGACTATGATTCATTCAGGAGTTGCCAAAAATATTGTACTGGACTAAGTTTATCTGAAGTCAGTGTATGTTAAATAATGAGTCTTCAGTGGTGTTGGTCATTTTATTGCACTGCCGTCTGTTCCAACGCTAATGAGTTACTGGGAAAAAGATGCAGATGCAGGCAAGTGAAGAGGCAAAGTAGAGCAGACAAGCTTTCAATAATGTGTGCTCTGTCAGTTTTCTGTTTGTAGTTTTTACTCGTTGAGAGAGGATTTTACTGCATCTTATAATTCTTTATAAGTTATTTTGCACTAAATGTCAGAGACACAATCAAGTGTTTGTGATTTTCAGCCAACACATTAGAGATCCAGGGATTGGCTAAACCACTACCACTCTTTTTGCATGAAAGGGCACAAATAGTTTTACATGTTTGTTTCTTCTTATTTGTAGTCCCTCTACTAGAAGTCCAATGTGGCACTTTATCCTCAGAGGTGAGGTCAGTGTAGACACTGATTTTTAAAGAAAGCATTACTACAGTTGGTGTTGGTATATGATGGTTGTCTGACCTGACAAACAGCCGGAGACCTTGGCAGACTGTATGTGTAGCCTATAGACTGTGGGTAATGCTAAACAAATCTGAGAGTTGAATGGACATTATGGTCAGTGTACTACTGTATGTCTAATGAAGCATCTCAGCATTTAAATGGCTTTATCGTGACGGCTCTGTTTTTAAAAACAAATACAAACAGAGAATGTAATTTAAGAAAACCAGTATTTATTTTGTCATGCTGCCAAGGGCAATTTGTTGCTTGAAATACCTCCCTAATTAGCAAATATTTCCACTCTCACTCCTCCTTCTCTGTACTGTGGTACTGTTGTAATCCTACTCCTAGGATGTGTAACTCTAGACAGAAAGCACAATATTTCATAGTTTGTTTATTTTTAAATACACATTTGTGAAGGTTAGAATAGAGCAGCGTAATCTGCATAGACCTGGCCTAGTTGTGATTAGTGTACATTTATACACTTTACTATATAAGTATCCCTTAGGACTGCATTAAATTGTAAGGTATGTATACATGTACCATTCATTCATAATGTATTGACCATCAACTTTTACAGGATATAAGCACATTGACTACATAAACCATCCTGTAAACCAATTTTGTGCAAATGTACCTGAATCCACAGATCCAAACATCCTTCATTTTTCAAATCCTATTTAGTGCACAGCACATATTTTTAACACCCTGTATGGTTTACTAGTTTGTATGTTTTCAACAGTTAAACACTAGGAGAAAAAGAAAAAAAAATAACTCAACCACTAATGCTTTTTTCTAAGTGTTATTTTTTTAATATGATGCATTTGTACAAAAAGCCATAGGCCTACATGTTTTGATAATAAACCACTTAATTTATTACGTCAATAAAAGAACACTTGTTGTGAGCGTTTGTGGTTATTGTGTTGGTGTACGATACAGTATCAGAAGGAAAATGTCAGGTCCAAAAGGAGAACAGGAGAAGCATTTGCTTTTTTTCCTACACAAAATGAGAGCTCAATAAACAATCAAAAGTGTTCAGGGTGAAGTTCCAACTCCTTTTTTATCCTGTTCTCCACCAGAAGACTGAGGTTGGAGTCTGTCATTGGAAGACTGTAACTCACAAAGACTTGCTTTTTGGTCTTCTTTGCTGCAAAACAGACATAAACAGACAATTTTTTCACTTTTAGTTTAACACACAAAATGGTTTGCTTTAGTATACAATTACATTAAAGTCATCAGTCTTGGAAGCTGGTGACCCAAGACAAATGTTTGCTTTCTGTCACTATTTTTAAGTTAATGGACAGTGTCGGTGTTTTTGCATGTTTAAGCCTATTCACTACAATGTCTATTTTTTCAAGACCAACCATTTCCAAAGCATAACATATGATCTTTGTGTTTTTCACACATTTCAAGAAGCCACTGGTTTTAATTAAATTTGTTGTGGTATGAATATCGACTTGGGAAGACTTGCCTGACATCTGTAATCTGTCATGGTAAACAGCGTTATAACTTTTAATCTTGTCAAACTTTTGTGGTCATTTTATGGTTACATAGTAATAATAATAATTAAGCTATGACTTTGTATAGCACTTTTAAATACTAACAAAACTGTTTCACAGCAATTAAGGTAAAACATTGATAAATTAAAATTAGTATCACACACAGTGGTTTACAATCAATAAATAAGACATAAACAAATCAATATACAAATAAATGAAAAAATTAAGTATACGTCACACAGAGAAAGCTTTTTTGTAGAACTGCTGTTGTGAATAATTTTAGAGCATTATAGCCTAAATTGTTATCATTAATTACTTGAGCGATGGTGGTCTACATTGTCATCATTTAAAGTGTTATTTTATAGTGTAAAGTGTAGGATCACAGTGTTAAAACTCTATAGCTCTGAGTGTATGTGCTCCTTTCTGTATCTAACTGCCCAGGCTCAGCAGTAGCACATGTATGTGTGTGAGCAGGCACGTGTGCTTTGGGAGCAGAGTGAGGAAGCACAGTGAGACAGCATCAAAAACACCAGTTAAGGAAAATGTAGAAGCAGAATTAGTGAAAATTGTGTTACAAAACATACATTATAATAATATAGTCCATCACAGTAAGAATGCCCTGTCTCTAGCACACAGCACAAAAGACACCAGCTTATTCCACAAAGTCAGGTTATGGTTAAAATAGCATGATCAGCAGAGGGCATGTCTAGGACACACAGAGGGGGAGCAGTGCAGACAAAAAACAGACATCAGTCAAGAAACACTCATCAGTGATTATCCTTAATCATTAATCATTCTTAATCATTTCATTATCCTTAATAGTCATTCTTAATCATTTTTTTTTTACCCAGATGTGCCTTGACTTTACTTAGAAGTGCTGAACTATAGTCATGAATACAGAAACAAGCTCACTGTGGTTAGATTATTGACTGCAGACACTGATTATGCAAGCCTTGTTCAACTGTTATCTACTGTAGATTTATGACTGCAGGAGAGGCTGCAGGAGTTCAAAATCTGCTGATGCTGTGACAGTGCATGCTGTTATCTACTGTTGTTTTGACTACATGAGGAACTGTTGATGTAGTAGTCTGCTGATATTAATACTACATGTTTAATTACTGATTAAGGGTTTGACTGTCAACTTCCAACCTCGCTGAAGGAATTTTTGATGACAGAAAAACCGACAGAGGCTTGCTAAAAACATTTCAGATAGTGGATGACAAAAAAGACGACAGACGCTTCACAAAAACGCGACAGAGAGAAGATAAGCAGAAAAGAGCCCGCACAACATCAAGATTACTGTAAGAAACCAAGCATTAATGAAAGATACAGCATTACATATGTTATTCTTGTATTCATTTTTTAAGAAATACAATTGTGTGTCAAATTATGCATGTATAACTTTAAAAAAACAACAAAAAACGGTGAGACTGAAGTTGAAATGTAATGGTGAACTTCTTATCCAGTAGTGTAAAAATATAGAAAATCAACAATACAGTAATGAATGACAGCTGGAAAACATTGTTAATTGGTAAAACAACACATGTAAGCAGCATGACAGCAGAGGATAAGAAGTTCACCATAAGGAGAGGAGGGGGCAAACCAGCCCAGAGGGGGATTTATAAGGCTTTCTGCAGACCACAGGATTGACTCCATCCTCCGACCTGCAGGGATGATGTACGGGTTTATCTGTCCTGTATTGGAACAAACTCTTTTGCACCGACTCTTGACTGCAAACTTATTGACTATAGTAGAAAGTTAATGGAGTATTTTTTGACAAAGTTTAAAAAGCTGGTGAAGGTGGGGGACCAGGCTTAACCGGCCCAGCCTGGTCGTACATCTGATCCAACACTGTGTCTTAAGAAGTGAGATAAACAGACAGGAACAGACTCTGCGAGCCTGTTAACCAGTGAATTGATTTCTAACTGAGAAAAGTATAAAAAAAGAGTTCCAGTAATTGAGGGCGGGAGAAGATAAAAGTATGGATGAGTTTCTCCAGATCTGCGGCTGAAATAAAAAGACTTATCCTGGGCTATTTTATTTCAAATGACAAAAACATAACTGGACAACTTTCTTTACATGGGCTTCAAAACATAGTATAGACTCTTCCAATCAATCTGCACTTGCAACTGCATTAACACAAGCTGACAACACTAAAAGCAGACATGAAGGATGATCTAACTAAAGCAAGTTTCAGGACTCTGCATTCCGAAATGAATGAAACACATAAACAAAATCTGAAACAGCAGCAGGATTTGGAAAACTGTTAGAAGTAAAGTTGATTTTAAGTGATTTCTGCAAATACCGGCAGCCTTAAACATACAAAAGCATCTTTAATATCCACAAATAATAATCACATGATAGCAGAAATACATAACAGCATAGATTTTGTTTAAAAGTTTACATTTATGAGAAAAAAACCCAGTGCAGACATAAGAGAAGAGGTGGAACTTTCAGACAGGCCAATATGAGGAACTGCAACAAAGAATGTGTCACATCTTAGTCATTTATAAATGTCTGCGGTCCTACCCCAGTTCTTTATGCTTTTGGTCTTTAAACAGCAACATCATCTCATAATACTGGTAGCTTAAATGCGACCGCTGATTAACATGTGCATACCCTGCTTTCAATAGAGTACATGTAACATCACAAGCCTTTCTGAAAAATAGAATTTTCTGAGTTTATGTCTTGCAGATTTATGACTTTAATCTTGGAATATTACTCCACTCCCATGACCTTGTAATTATCTACAATGGCCCTAATAAGCAGTCATAGAAAAGAGCTTTTCAGCTTTTTAATAATGTATTAGAACTTTCTACATTAGCAGCAAAAGAAATATAAATTCATGAAAAGTCATACATCATTACCTAATCTCTGTGCCAAGGAATTTGGAGCAGTATTGGATGGGTCCCCCAAGACTAATGTAGATAGAGGCATTGAATCCTGCAGACCAAAAAAGAGAAATACATTTAGCTCTGACATCCAAAACAATGTTTTACTTTCCTAATATCTGTCTGCCCAGGTGTTTCAAAAAGGTTTTCAAACTAAAGGCAATACATCCCAAACAGCTTTGTTGTCTCTGTCATTGGTGGTATAGTCAAAGGATGTCAACGAAATGTACTGTACTTTAGGCCCATTAATCAACCCGTGGCCTTGCGATGGAATACTGCAAAATCATAGGGTGGTCCCACTATGCAACGGATCTTTAAGACAACGTGACAAAGCCTTCCTCTTAAAAGGGTCGACTCATCTAGGTCACAGAAATATTTTCCCACGTTTCCCTTGTTGGATTTTGCAATGGATGCTGAAGGTGAGCAATATGGATCAAATCCTCATGGAATATGTAATTTTTTATATCACATTATTGATATTAGAGTTACACCGCCCAGTGAAAGCATGTTTTAATTTCCACAAAAATTATTATTATTATTATTATTTAATTCTACCTGCTCTGCCTCAGAAGCTCAGTGGGCAAGTCCGGACATAAAATTCAAATAAAAACAAATTCTCAGGTGTTCAGGAAAGACAAATAAAATGTTCCTATAAATCAAAATAACAGAATAAACAGAAGTTTTTCCTGACCACAATACCTTTATTTAGAAAACATTGATAAAACTCAGGATTTCCATTTTACATTCAAAAGAGTTCAATTAAACAGGGAATATTTTACTGTGCAAAATATTTTAAAAGGAATTATACTAGATCTTTTACACAAAACAAAACCTCTCAAGGTTTCTGTCCAGAAATAGCCAGCACCTGACTCCTCTTCCTCTTTTATCCCTAAAGTGTTCAAATTAAAATAATCATACAGGAATAATCTGTCAGGTTAATATGTGACAACTTATGCTTCATCATACTGCGACAAAAGCACATACAAGTCATTACTATAAAAAAAAAACCCACTATACTTCTTGATTTACTATACTGACCACAATGGCTGGATACTCCCAGACACATACTGTACAGCAAAGGGATAAATACTACAGTATAAAAAGTACATATATGATTTCTGACAGTTGACAAATTAAAATCCTTAGTTCAATATCACTCCTAATCAATGCAGACAGCTTTGGTTTGTTTTGGAAAAGTTCAACATTCCCAAAATTGTATGTGGTCACAAAGGAACACATGAAATGAGATGTGTTGAATAAAACAGTATTTACGTGCACGGCTAGACACCACTAAGTCAGGATAATATAATCATTACTCTGTGTGGCCCAAAACTGCAACAGCCTGCCCATAAATATCCAACAAGTAACATCAGCAAATTCCTCCAAGAGAAATCTTAAGACTCATCTTTTTAATCTTTAATCTAAACTGTTATTTTGCTGCCATGCCCATTTTATTGACTCATACTGAAATGTTTTATTTTCTATCCTGTTTAATTGTATTTCAAATTGTTTGTTTGCAACCTTTTAATGTGTTTGAGATGAACTTAAGAAGAGTTTTAAACATTTTTGGTGCAATTTTATGTAGAGCCCTTTGAGCTGCACCCTGTGCATGAAAGTTTTAATGCCAATAAAGTTTATAATTGGCATTATTGTTATTTAGGTGGACTAGCTTTAACCCTTTAGGGCTTCATCAATTAAGGCCTGTCCTGATAATACATCCAAATTTATGCACCTGTCTAATTTATTTTTTATGCAAATTGCACATTTTCTGTTCATCCAATAAACCTCATTTCACTACTGAAATATTTCTGTGTCTTTCAGTTATTTGATAGCTCAAAAGGAAATTGCTTATCCAAAACACCCAATTATTTATAAATGAAAATCATGGAAATTGTCAGGAGTGCCTAAACTTTTGCATACGACTGTATGTCACAGCAGCACGTGGAAAAACTCGTCAGTCGACTTGACTACTGTAATGGTGTCTTTACAGGTCTCCCTAAGAAAATGGATCAGACAGCTGCAGCTGAACACCAAAAAAGTGGATCACATCACTCCAGTTCTGAGGTCTTTACACTGGCGGATTGATTTAAAAATACTGCTGTTTGTTTATAAAGCACTGAATGATTTAGTGCCGAAATACATTTCTGATCTTCTGCTTCGTTATGAACCATCCAGACCTCTCAGCTCCTCTGGGATCAGGTCTGCTTTCTGTTCTCAGAGTCAGAAGAAGCGTTTGCTTTTTGTAATGCTCCATATATCTGGAACAAACTCCCAGAAAACTGCAGATCTCTAAACTTTTGACACTAACTTACCTTTAATTCAATAAAATTGAAGGCTGTAGATGAATAACTTGTAAGTTACTGCACTTCAACTTTCACTGTCCTGATTTAACTCTTTAAAAATGTTTTATCCTGTTTTTATTTTCTATTCAACTTTAATTCAATTTCACAGTCTTTTTTATATTTCCCTATTTTGCTTTTTAAGTTTTTATGTAGGAAGCACGTTGAATTGCCTTGTTGTTGTTGTTGTAATGTGCTATGCAAATGAACTTACCTTACGGCACTCATATAAAAAACCCGGGTATTTTAAAATCTAAATTATATTACATTTGCATCAAGATGAAAGCACTTTGTTAAGTTGGCGTGTTTACTTACATATTTGCTGCTCATTGAGACCGCCAGGTTGGACAGGACGGGACTCGAACCGACCCACAGGAAAAACCCGCCGCTGAGCTTCATTACGTGAAAGTGCACGACCTGCTCCAAAATCTTCTCCGAAAAATTGTGCACTGTAATGGCATCAAACGCCGCTCCGTTTTGTGTTTCAGTCATTTTGTTTAACTCTAACTATCTAGCTTTGACTAGCAAACACTTGCACTCGTGTTGGCTGTAAACAGAAACAGCTACTTCCTGCTTAAAGAAAAGCGCAGACCAAAGCAATCGATCATCAATGTTCAGCTAGTGCAGCACTAGCACAACTGATCTTGACCATAGACTGTGAATGTTACCATATATATTTTTTTTTTACCATATTCACTCACTGTAGGCCTGCTGTTTGAATTAAACATTAAATATAAATGACCACTTATAGTAAAGGGCTTATAAGTTGTAAGTAACGACTTAATGACTTTATGCTTAGTGAGGAGTGACCCATCACTTACTTCAGAAAATATTTAATTATAGAACAAAATAACATTGAGATAAAGAAAGTACAATATACAGTAATTGATAAACAAGGTTAAATAATTGAATTTCTTAGTGGAAATATTTGCAATAAACTAGACTATTAGTCAGTCTGTTTTGTTTTTTTCTTCACAAAATGATCAGTCGTTATTTCACCGTGTTAATTGATGCTTCAATCATCCAGAAAGTCTTCCACCAGTTTGTTGAATTCAGCAGCATATCTCAGGTGGAGATTGTGTTTGCCCTCTGGCATCAGGTGTAATCTACATTTGGGACAAAAATAAAAGGGTATACACATGTCACACGTGTCATTGTAATACTGCTGTTGTTTAACTCTGTGTGTGTGGTCTCACCGCGATCCCTTGATGTGTTCGAGGAGACACTGTGGGTGGAAGCTGGGCACCATGGGGTCTTTCTCTCCATGAATGATGAGGGTTGGACAGCTGATGTGGGGCAGAAGCTCCATGCAGATACTCCCTGACCAGAGGAGCTTACATTTAACATTTTGGCTTTACTCTTTTCAGCTGACATTTATTTGAATGCCACAAACTTCAGGAGCATGTCAAACAAATTTCCTTGTGTATAAATGTCTCTTGTGGCAGAAATAAATTCCATCAGTCTTGTGTTTCTTCTTACTACACATCCCCACATCCTCTATGTAAAACACTATAAACACAGTATTTATATATTTTACTTTATACCAACATCAATCTCCAAACACCTCCCCTCCACCTCCTCATTTTATCATTTGTGATGGTTTTCAGTTTTAGATTGCTCAGATTCCCTTGTGTAATGAGTCTGTAACAACACGAATTCAGTACCTTCTGGTCTTTTTGCAAAATGTGCGACCCCATCCACCCAGGCCTCCCAGGTTTTAGCAAAGACTTCTGCTCCATACACCTCCTCCATGGGCTGCCTCATCCTCGCACTCCACTTGGAGACATCACGCACCGCTACGTGTTTCCACAGAAATCCAAGCACACACAAAGACAAAGTTAAGTGACTGCACTGGCAGTTACCCAAGACAGTGATAAGTAGAGTAAGAGTACCATCGTAAAGCTCAAGGTCGTGCTGGGAAATAAAGGCATTGGATCCCCATACAACCATCTTGCCGATCAGATCGGGGTTCTTCGCTGCTGCAATCAGAGCTGTGATTCCTCCGTCACTCCACCCAAGCAGAGAGAACTTGCTAAAGCCTAATGCCTGCCAATAAAATGAAAAATACTACCACTAACAAAGTGTATATTGTCTAAAATGCAACAAATGAACTAAATAATAAACATGCAGATGTCAATAAGCTTCCAGCACTTTGTAAACTATGCAGTTTAGTCTGGTAAATCATTAGACTGTTTAGACCTTCATCAGATCGACTGCATCCTTTGCATCCCTCTCAAAGAATTCAGGGGGGAAGTCTCTGTCTGGAGGGCGGGATTGTCCATAACCACGGGGGTCCCAGCCCACTACAGTGAAGCGTTCCTTATTCAGAGACTTCAGCTGAGGTCCGAAATCAGTCCGAGTGCTTCCTGTGGGCAAAGAGACCAGGTTTTCACAAGCTCAGAGGATGTATTCATATAGGACGTGAGACAGACATGACTGTATTGTTGTATTTACCCAGAGCGCCAGGAATCAACAGCACAGCGTGTTTCCCTCTGCCTGTCTGCTCGTAGTACAGATCCACTCCATTAACATGCTGCCTGCCTGAGGCCACTGAAGAGCTGCAGGGAAGCAGACAGGTACACTTTGGCTGCAATGCTCATAGTGATGGAAAAGAATAGATCTCTCTATTGAACAGCACTGGTTTTCATTTGACAGCCACAGTAAAACCAAATATGTTTGATCTTATCTTTAATACAGTTGCAGCAATCATATTTGGGGCGGTTGTGGCTCAGTAGGTAGGTAATCAGAAGGTTGGTGGTTCGATCCCCGGCTCTTCCAGTCTGCATGTTGAAGTGTCTGATCCCCTAATTGCTCCCTGTGCTGTTGCTGTGTGAGTGTGTGTCAATGCTTAGTTTTTGTTTCTGATGAGCAGTTGGCACCTTGCATGGCAGCCCTTGTCATCAGTGTAGGAATGTGTGAATGTGGTGAATGTAACATGTAGTGTAAAGCACTTTCAGTGGTCAGACGACTCCACTTACCATACAGTACAGCAATAATACCATGAAAACGCTGTATCTTTGTTGTGAGACACAAGAGCATGTATCACCTTCTCTGCAGAGAAGGTGATACATGCTCAACACCATGATCCCAATAGCCCTCAATATCATTTTCACCGAATCTTGATGTATGACTTTATTGTATCTTTGTTCTTTGTACTAGCTGGTGCATTGTTACAGCTATTTCCTTGGATTAATGTAAATGTACTGTTATTTTGTCATTTGTTTCTGTACTCACAGCTTGTGGCAATTTCACAGTTTGCACCTCCAGGTCATTGACCTGCTGTTGAACATGACTCAGGCTGTGAGGAGGGCCTCTGTACTTTGATACACTAACACTTTAGTAAAACATGAAGCTACACTGACAATGATTGCTTTGCTGACTGATTTGATGGCGTGCCACCAGTTACAAAAAAGTCAGGCAGGAAAATGCTTCAGTTTAAAAGCAATCTTGTGGAATTGTAGGTATTGTGCAGGTGCTCAAAAACTCTTGAAATATAAGATCCTGAAGGATTTTAGTGGTCTTGCAGGAAATGTTAATGTTTCCTACAGGGAAATTCACTGTCCTCCATTTTCCCAGATAGAAAAAGTTGTTAATTCAACACAGAGTTATGCTATTTTGAATCAACTTTTTTTTTTTTTTTACAGCGGTCACAATTTCAGTGTTAAAATGTATTTATATACCTCCATCATTTAAGCTTATGCATGATCAAATGAACCATTGAAAAACAAATCTGTGGGTATATATTTTAAGATTTTTGGGCCCTTTTTCTTTCATATTTGGATAATTTCCCATTGTAGATTTACCCAATTGCAGAGGGAATGTTGCATATGGTTTCTGCTCCAAAAGGTTTATCACCTTCGTGTGGTTAATACTTCAATTTTATGGATGTTTTAAATGCTTTTTATTCATTTTTAAATATAAAATTTGACATTGTAGGGACGCCAATTAAAAAGAACCCATATCTTTATAGGTAAAGCAGGTACAAAATTACCTCAATAATAATAATAATAATAATAATAATAATAATAATAATCCTACCACCATCATTTACAGCGATACAAGAGGACACGGTGCGTTTCCTTATAAATTATAAACATTTTAGCAATATTATTTCGTGCACACTTTTTGTGGTGCACTTCCTGGACATACAACGCCATCTAGTGGATTTAAATCAAATAAACCTTTCTGCAAAAATCACGAAAATGTTACTAAAAGCAGGGCAGACATTTCCTGTTCCGTGACTGCGGCACTCCGTGGTTACAGCAAATTTGAAAGAATTTGCTTATGAACATGCAAATATCACAGTTAACATAGTGCAGATAGTTACCAGTACGGCTGGATCGCTGTTATGGCTCTATTCATGACAGTTCTGCATTTGAAGAAACGTCCTCCGAGTAAAACCAACGTCATTTCTCAGACGTCCACACACAGGTCTATTTCGTGTGGTTAAAGATTGAACAAAGTTTGTTTCTTTCAAAGTATCTTTCTGACTGCAGATCAGTATAATCCTGCACTGCACGTTTTTTAGGGGGTCCAGGAAGCTGCAGTCAGTTTGGCACTTTCAACACTGTCTTTATTGACACATTTACAGCGAAAGTACGAAAACGCACAGAAACTCAACCCTTACGTGAAGGTTTTAATTCACTATAATAAGGTTTTAATTCACTATAATAAGGTTTTAATTCACTATAATAAGTATAATGTTTCAGTAACATTATTTCACAGATCCCATGATTTCGCAAATTATTTCCGAGGGAGTTTCCTTGTATGTTCTTGGGAAAAAGGAAAAAAGAGACAATGTGATACAGTTAGGCCTATGGTGTTCAGTAGTATTTACTTTCCAGAGGAATTTCCCTTTTGGTAAAGTTTCTTAAATTAATTCATTAGTCATGTAATTTTGGAAACCTCATATCTTTTAAGTTTGGGGTTTTTTGCATGTTCAGTCACCTGCAGTGCATTGTCTAGACCAGGCTACACAAGCAAATAAGTGAAATTGATTTACTGGAAATGTAACAGTAGGACCCTTCCCCCATTTTACACATTACTTGTAGGTCTATACCAAGTTAAAGTACAGTTAGACTATCTTTGCTTCCCTGAAAAATTAGGAAACTATGGGACCTGTGATAAATGGCTTTTATTTTATATGAGCTATATGTAAAAATATGGGCTATTTGTTTGCCAAAATGTCATTCGCAGACAAAGAAATGTATTTCTACTCTATATTGACATGACTTATTGGAGAGTTTAAACACCCATTTAGACCTGTTGTGAACAAACTATGATAAAACTCCTATAAAGTAGCCTACAGAGATTCTGTATAGAGAAAGTAAATTATATAACCGTGAACTGCATAGTTCAGAGTCAAATGCTAATGTCAATATGGTAAGATGTTCACAATGTCCATGCTGATGTTTATCTGGTATACTTTCACCATTTGCCCGTAAACACAAAGTACAGCTGATCATGGCATTAATCCAGTTTTAAATCACAGTAATAAACAAAGTCAAACTTCGACCTCATGATGGCACTAGATGAGGAGAGGACCACCAAAGTTATTACACCACATCCTGATGGGGACATGAATGTCTGTGTCAGATTTCATGATGAACCTCAACCTCATGGTGGCGCTAGAGTAAAAGTCAGAGGACCACCAAGGTCAGCAGGCTTTTCATTCATAGCAGTCCAACAGTGATTTAGATATTCAGACTGTTATCAGACGCTGCCAAAACACCAAATGTTCTCTGGCTCCAGCTTCTTAAATGTGAGGATCTACTGTTTTTATTTTATTTTATATCACTCTAAACTGAATGTTTTGAGGTTTTGGGCTGTTGGTCGTACAAAACAAGGCATTCAAGGACATCAACTTGGGTTCTGGGAAGTTGCAGTAGGCATTTTTCATTACGTTCTAGCGTTTAATAGACTGACCGATTAATCAATAAATCTAGGAATAACTGTCTATAAGGACTTTACAGTTTGGTGCTGTTTTGTTGTAGCAGAGTTAGCATTATTATCTGATAGGTGTAACAAACAACCAACTGGCATCAAACTTGAAAGTTACTCTTGAATTTAAAGTTAAAACCTCCTCTTTTCTTTTTAATCATCAATATCTCACATCCTTTAGTGTCTGTGCAGCAGAGCCCCCACTCCCTCGTCCTACACACACACAAAGACACACAGACATACACCTACACACACACACACACAGTGATGCTCTAACGAAGGTGTTTTTTTAATACACAATCTATTCAAAAAAGCCCTTGTGTCTGATGAGTGACGTGTCTGTTTATCAATGGGTTTGAGATCTAGTTCTCAAGCAGCTTTTTGTAAACGCCTCCACTCTCCTCTGCCTGTCAGAGCGTCTGAGCTGTGCCACACACTGAACCACACACAGGAACACAAGACAAGACAACAAAGCTGGGCTAAAAATACCTCGATCTGCTCAGAGCGATGTGTTGAAGGAGTAGCAGAGTTTACTGGAAATACAGTTACTAAAAGTCCACTGAGCATCAACACATGAGTTAAAGCTGCTGAAAACATGCTTTGAAATCTGAAGTACTTCTCTATAAAAGAAAATATTCATCATTACACGTGCAACAATCAAAGTTAAAGTTGGAAAAGAACACATAGTTATTATTTATTATTAGTGCAGTACTCAAAAGACCCAGCAAATCTGCTTCATCCGGACTGTGTAAGACTGGTGTGATCAGCTGTCATCGCATTTTGATATTGAAATATTGCTAAATACTGATTGGTGTGACATCAGTTGTTTTCTAACCTCTTCCTGCCCACTTCAAACCATCAAGAATGAATCAATGTGAAATGAAAAATACAGAAAATCCTTAAATGAAATAACAGAAACTGCTATTTTTCAGGGCCTATACGCTAAATGGGGAAATACTTCCAATCCCTTACACCTCGAGACTATAGTATAATTGAGACTTATTACAGGTGACATGTATTTTGAGTCTCATCAAGTTCTCCTTGTACGGTATAATACCTCTGCAGATAGTGATAGCTAGGCGTGACCCGCTGTTGGATCTGTTGTCAACTGACCGCTGTCCCTCAACCATCTTTGTCTGGCTGGTATGTGCCTATCCACGGTCCCATGACACACTCCTGGTCTAAATATAAATATCCAAGCAGGGTGTTCTACTGCTAAGGTCACATTACGTCATCCCAAGCAGCATATTCTCAATCAAGTAGCACTCAGGGCATGTGCTTCGGATTGTGTCGCAGTCTTTATTCTATCCTGGGTCACATCAGGGGTTGTTTGAAAGTGACATGACACAGTAACAGCTGGTGATTGATTGTCTTCCTGCGGAGAGGGCTCAAGTTTAAAAACCTGGTGAAAAATCCTTATTGTGTGCTAAACTTGATGTGCTTCTCTTGAGACTTTTGGCTGACATGGGTAATGGAATTAACAAGGTACAGTATCAAAATACCTGTCATACTTAAATACATACATACATACATCCTTGTTGTACTTTTATACAACCTCTGCGTCAATTTCTAACTTCCTTCAGGTCCTGCCTAATCTTTACCTCGGAAATATCAAAGGTAAGATGCCCTGCCTCTTGTCATTTGAGTGAAGAATTGATTTATTTTCAGGATAATGTAGTATGTTTCAGTTCCTCATACGGAGGGGCATGTGGTGAGATACTACACTGAGCTCAGTTTCTATAGAGTGGAGAGGTCACAGTGTACAGCAGAATGATTTAAGGAGCGTATGAAAAAAAAACTATTACACTGTGCTTTTTGCTTCTATGCATGTGTGCGGGGGTTGGTGTGTAACTCTCTGTCAGCAGCTGGAGGAAGGCCGCGAGAGGGTTAGTGTAGGAGGGGGTGCCCCGAGACATGGGGGTGTCCCTGGTGTGAACTGTATTCCACATCTTTCCATAAAGCAGTAAATGCAGTCATTAGGTTGCTTTTTTATCTGTGCACACATGAAATGGTGACCACACAGGACATGTCTTCAAAATGTGGAGCACTTTTTGTAGAAAACACATTCAGGGAACCGCCGTCGAATAGGAAATCTTACTTCATGTTACCCAGGCTTTTGATCTTCTATTATCCATTTTGCATGGCACATTTGATAACATCTCAAAATTTTATCTCTGTACAACAGCAAGTGTGAGCAAGTATGAGGAAGTCTAAAACTATGTAAGACCTAAACAGTGTCAGCCAACTTGTCCTGCCCTATACAGGTGGGCCTTTTTAGGCAAAAAATAAAAACGTAAACATCCCTATCACAGAACCCATATAATACCTAGAAAGACAGTTTTCTGCAGTATCTACCAGCAAATATGTTTTGTCAGCTTTCTTGGATGTGAAAACAAACTAATAAAATATATTAAACTAATTCACCAGTTCATAGATTTTATGTGTGATTTAAAGGTAGCTTTTCCACACCAAATTCCATTTGCGTTAAAAGCTGAAATGACCGTTACTGCTGCTCTCCTTACAGTTACATTAGCTTTAGCAGGAGTTCAGTGTTAGCTGGGTTTTATTCTGTACTATGGTTGGATTTAGCCACTGCCTCAATTTCCTATGTGGAATTTAACTCAGTCAGTTTATCAAAAAGGATATTTTACAGATAACTGCTAGGAAAATAACAATAAGTAAATTCTGTTTTAGTTTTAACAGAGGCTCACCAGCTAATGTCGCTTGGTGCAGTTCTCTTGTTCTCTCTTGTTGGCTGTTTGTTTTTATCTTCTTTTTATAGTTCCTGCTAATTTTACATGCTGTTTTCACATAAATTACCCATCTGGCATAATCATTTTATATGGTAAACAGATGCCAAAAAGTCAGATTCCATAACTCACTTTTGACCAAATATATATTGACTGTGTTTCAGCTTTCTAGGGTAGTGTCACTGGTCTGTGCTCAGCAGAAATAAACTTCTCTGTTACCAGCTTTAATGTTGTATCAGCACCTTGACACCAAATAAAAATATTTATTCCATGACCAACACTGACTTACAGTGTTAAGTCACATAATCAGATTATGTTTCCTTTTCAAGTATCCTAAGGATTGGTATTAAGTACTAATATATTTATCTATTTATATTGTAAGCAGTTTTTTTTTTGCATCACAATGCGTGAGATTGGGGTTAGTTCAATTGATCTGGCTGGCAGGAGGGTTCAGTACAGACTCATCTTAGTCTTGTATAGGTGGCATCAGCATCCTGCAAACTTGCAAAGCATGAGAAAAAGTGCTCAAGACACATCTGTCCAAGGTAGAAAACATTTGGCTTCCTTTTAAAGAACAAAATTTGATTAGAAGAATTACTGTTTCTTGCTTTTGGCCCAAGCTGCTGCACTGTTTTAGAAACACTGGTTTTCCGGTTTTTCTTTCAGTTCAAAACAAGAGCAACACTTTTAAGCCATAAGGCCACATTTGCTTGGGAGATAATAGAGGAGGGGGGTTGTTGTTGGGTAAAAAATGCTTAATTTAGGTTGGACCTTACGTGGGGCGATTTGTGATTGGATGGAAAGAACATTTGAGATTTCACGATTTTCTTTGTGGTCCACAGATGCACGAGACAAGGAGCTTTTGGCACAGCACAACATCACCCACATCCTGTCCATCCATGACACAGCTGCACCCATCCTGGAGGTGAGCTGTCTTATCTGTGTCTTATATCGGCCCATGTGACCCTCCCCAGCATTAATTCGGCCATGAAGTACACAACCTCCCTGGAGCTCACCACCATTGTTTTCCCCCCTCAGTGTCCCTGCTGCTCGGTACTCGTTCTGAAAGTGTTCAATGTTGGCAGCAGACCTGAGATGCCACACAGCCTTTTTCTGACTAAAATTTCTTCATTAGGGCTGTATCTAACAAATGATCAAATTGAGTGTCGGTTCATCTGTTCAATGCATTGATTAGTTGTTTAGACTCAATGTCCACCACAATTTCCCAAAACCCAAGGTGACTTCACACATTTGAGAAGCTGGAACAGCATAATATTTCTTAGAAAATGTCTTAAACAATTGATCTTTTGATCAATTACTTAATCTATCGAATGACTAATTGATTAATCATCTAATTGTTTCAGGTCTAATCTTCACGACCCCCTTGTTCCTCTGTGGTATCATCTTCAACAATCTATTTATTATTGTTAGTTGTGTTATGAAAAGGTAAATACAAAGAACAAAGGGTGTTAGGTAATATCCTTTACACAAAAGTCCAATTTTTTATCAAAGGCTGTTGAAATAGACCACTTCAATTGGTGTGAAAGTCAGATGTTCTTATTTTCAATTCCTTTTGTCTTGTATCAGTCAAGACCTGGAATTCACCAAGTTTCACCAAGTAAGCAGTCTTCTATTGACTGTGATGCCTCAATATTGTGTGGGATCCCAGTGAATATCTGAAAATTTGTATGTTGTTTTCAGTTTGTTATGCAGCTGTGATGCAGATGCAAGTGATTATTCTGGAAGATACATTTCACACAAGATGCTTTTAGCTCAGCAGCTTGAAGTCCATAAACTCTTGAAAGTGGAACTACATTAAAAAAGGTTTCTGGCTTTTCATGGCTGCATATAGATGGTTGTGATTTGTGTATGAAAGAGCGGGAAAGGCGTTTTTCTTGTGTGTACGTGAGCATGATAATGTGAGAAGGAGAGAAAGAGGTGATCTTACTGTGAGAACCTAGTCGGTTGAAAGTAGAAATTTGCTCATTGATTTCCATTTGCTAACCGATGTGAGGCTAGACCTTTTCTACAACTGCATCTGTTATTAGAGAAATTTAGTCGTTTTAATTTAGCTGAGACATTATCCTGTTAATAATAATTAATGATCCATTTGAATTTAATTGTCGTTTTATTAGAGTGACATTTTCCTCTCTCCGTCTCCGTCTCAGAGTCCATTTGAGTTGTTTTTGAAAATCTTGATCTTCAGTGTCCGCTTTCACAACTTTCATCTTTTCTTGTTGAAAGCGAGCATGAAAAGTGCTCAGAGATTTCTGTACACTTTCTCCATACACCATGTATGTTTCATGAAGAGAAACAGCAACTTGTATTACAGTATCACTACCCAAACTGGTCAACCACCAAAACTTTTAAAATGGTTTTGGACTTGAAATTATGTCTGACTCCCTGCACTGTGCTGCCCTTCCCTCTCCAGCTCATTAATCCTAGCAGCTGGACAAATCTTTGATCTTGTTTGTAGGATTGTTCTCGCATGTATATGGACGACACAGCTTTTTGAGTTCTGTGACAAAACGATGACTCAGGTCTGTTTTACCATGTGTAGCCCAAATGGCCAGATGGGATGGTTTATTTGCATACCTAACAGTCAAACTGCTGACTGATTGATTTCTTGGAAGACAGCATGATGGTTCCTGAGAGAGGAAGGTAGAATTTGCAACCACCAAGTCTCTAAGGTCGGCTGTGCCATTTACTGTACAGTATTTAGCTCTAATTAACATATTGCAAAATAAAAACGAAGAGGTCAGTTTTGTGGAATAAAATCTGAGCCTCCAAATGCCTTTTTGCAAGTGAAAAAATAAATGTATGCACCCACAATTTGCATGCAGATTGTTTGGAAGTGTATTCATGCTTTCTGTCGGCCTGGGTTTGATTTTTTAAATCGCTGACTCATGGTCATAAGAGCAATGGTGCAAAGATAAGAGGACTTTCGTCAGAAATCAGAATTTACAAGTTACGTGCTCCTTCAATGTGTCCATGTCTATTAGTGTTTAAGTGTGAGTGTTGCAACAGTTTGTCTGTGGTTGGGGTGTGCGAACTAACCTGTCTGGAGCACTTCCAGAGTTCAGTGTGTCCCAGAGGGCTCAGGGGTTTTTGCAGCGGTGCAGTCATAACGGGACAAGGTAGTTTCTGTCCACTGCATGTACCATCAGCTGCCAGGTGCACAGTACACAAAACACACAAATAGACACACACACGCAAACATCGTTTTGTCATGACCTGTCATACCAGCAGGGTCAGAGGGGCAAGGTTTCAGGGGCCGTCCCACACACCGAAAAACAGGAAGTGTGTTAGACCCAGAGTTGAAACAGATGACCGGACTGGATAGAAATACTTGTTATAATTTGTGAGCTGTTATACATTAATTAATTCATTATCTGCAGAAAAATGTCTAAATGTCCCCCCCTTCACCATCTAGGACATGACGTACCTGTGTATATCTGCTGCTGACCACTCTAAACAAAACCTGTGAGTACCTATATGGTATATACCAAATGCAGTATTTATATATGAGGTCCACTATGTTTAAAAGTTTTTCAATATTGACTAGATTGACCTTCTGATGAGCTGCAGCAAGGGCAATTTTAATTCAGTGTGTTTAACGTGATGCTTTTCCCAGGACTCAGTACTTCAGAGACAGCATCATGTTTATCCACGAGTCCCGACTCAAAGGAGAGGGCTGCCTTGTCCACTGGTGAGTGAAAATAAATCATGAAAATTGTTTGGTTTGTTCCTTACGTATTAATTAATCTTAAAATAACATGGTTGATTGATCAAACAGGACTTACTTAAGTTAAAGGGATTTTCATCCTTATTTTCTATAAATAATTTTAATAAAATAGTTTTATGTCTTGTTTTAACTGCACTTCATTATTTACTGCATAGTACTCCTATTTTTTGATTTAAAAATTGATTACATTGAGTCAAAATATACTGTACAACAGAGTAAATCATATGAAACTGGTAACATTTGCATTTGAGGATGTTGAAAGGAAGATACATAAATATGAGTTTCTTTTTGTTTAGAACGATGAGTATTTGCCTCAAGATATTTACTGACTGGACATCCTCATAATTTAGTTTTCATTTTCAACCACATCACTGTTGCCAAACCTGGCAAAATTCTGTTTTATGCTTTCATTGTAAATTTCATTACCTTTCATCTTTTCTCATATCAAACAAGCAAAATCAAGCATTTAACCACAGCTTAAGGAAAAGGGGGTTTCACTTCTTTGTACACTAAACAAGAGAATCTGAAAATGTGATCATTACTACAGCTACAGCTAGCATCATGCTGTGATGCCCTACGCTCAGTGTTGCAGGAGTGTCCCGCAGTGTGACTCTGGTGGTGGCTTACATCATGACCGTGACGGGCCGCGGCTGGGTGGAGGCTCTGGCGGCGGTGAGGGTGGCTCGGCCGTGTGCAGGGCCAAACCTGGGCTTCCTGCGTCAGCTGGAGGAGTTTGAAAACACAGAACTGACAGAAGTGAGTGCCACCCCGCTGATCTCACTTATGATCATTAAGGTTTCATGGATTTTCAGCAGTAGCAATTCACTGCATTTCTTGTTATTGCCTCTCTATTAGAAGTTTCTGGCAGACTCTGTTAACCATCAACATCCATGTGCATGGATACACATTCATATTGTGTATCCATGCACAAGAGATTCACAGGAAATGATGCAAACACATATTGGACTACAGAAGTCTGTGCAAGAGACAGCATCTGATCATGATTTCAGTATTACTGTGTTGGATGACATTGTTGACTGTCTACTTTATTAAAACAATGTGACATGATGAATGCTCTTGGCCAACGGTTTGATTAGGTGCTCTGTAAACTTATTCTGTTACATACTCGACAGAGTAGTTTACTACCAGGCTAAAAAGCAACATTTCACTGCCCTCTCTGGTTAAAAGTTTCAAACCTGTTTCAATTCTTTTTTATCGATAAGTAACAATTTTGGCCATTTTTGCCTTTTTATTTGACAGTTAACAGTGAAGAGGCAGACAGGAAGCAGTGGGAGAGAGAGGGGTGTGAGTTGAATCAAGCCGCGGACATTGTGGTTACATTATGCACCATGCACTGTAACCATTTAGCTACCGAGGCACTACAGCCGGTTTCGCTTCTGACCACACCATCACTGGGTGTGGTCAGAAGTGTGTGCTGTTGCACCTGTAACCACACCCACCAGTGATGTCACTGTGTACTGAGACACCCTCCACGTCGCTGCAGCAAGTTAAGAAGCTAAACAGCTGGAGGTCACCAAAAAACAAGGGGGACGGGGATGTTAGTCATTTTGAACTGAACATTGGTATCTATATAGCTATAAATATAATACCCCAAAACGTAAGGGTATGCTTGACATGAATTTTGGAGCTGTTCTGAATGGCCACACTGGAAAGGTGGGATGAAAGACAGACACCGTTCGACAATCTGAAGCATACTGACTCTAAAAAAAACACTTGCCCTTACCAACAGTAACCATAGTTGCCAAACAACAGGGACTTTAACAAGCCTCTTTTCCCCGAACTGGAAACACCCTCCATCCCTTTGATTCTGTCTCAGCTGTCTTTTATTCATCTCACTCACTTTTACTCTGCCCTCTGCTCCCCCTCCAGTATCGAGCCTGGTGGAAGGACCGATACGGGAAGAACTCGTTCAACGATGATGAGGAGATGGAAACCCTTTTAACCCAGAAATCTAACAGCAATTACACAACAACCAGGATCCCTCCTGCACTGGGCACAAGTGGCACCTGAAAAAAAATGTCTTCTCAGTGTCGTTTTGCCCTGAACTCGAGCAGCCGAAGGACTGTGGGCTTCTCCTTGGACCATTAAACCCACTAAGACCAGACCAGCTGTTTGAAAAAACTCCTGCCTTCATCAGCGATCCTGCAGAGAAATGCCTCAGCAGGAACAATTTCTGTATCGATATATGTTGAATCTCATGTTTGCAGAATTGCTACCTAGTCATGGGATGGGGGGATTTTTATGTCATTCTCTCACTCCCCCTTGTCATGACATGTCCTCAACACTAACTGTCAAAACAACATGCAAGGGCAGTCAAGCATGACACCAAGAAAATATGTACATGCAGTCCACAGTGTGAACACACATTTAGCAGTGTGCGCTCCCCCTGTCAGTTATGTTATGCTGTGTCTTCTACTATATGAGTATTACTTTCTATAACAGTGTGGAGCTAAAAAACACTGTCTCTTCCAGTAAAACAGTATCAGAAGCAATATTTATTTATTCACGCTGTTTTATTCCTTAATTACATTTTTAGTTAATTACATATCCATAAACCTGAGACTTAATTTGTCAAGTGAATATTTATTTATGTACTTGGTTCCCAACCTAGGGCCCCACAAAGGATTGGAAAGGCAGAAAATAAGCACGTTTTTTTAATGTTTCTTAATTTTAGGCATTTCATAAAACATTCAAATGAAAGAAGGTCTTTGGCTGAAATGGTCACAAGTGGGAGAAAAAGTATTTAGATCCTTTCCTCAATTAAAAGTAGCAATGCCAGAATGTAGGAAATACTCTAGTAATGCAAACACATTTAAAATCTTGATGCATTTGTGTATAGGCAGAATTTTAATATTGCTATTGGTTCTAACTGCTTTATATACTACTGCGTAGTTGAATCAATAAGAATTAATAATATTTTATAAGCTGATCTAAAGAAGTTACTTTAGCTATTAAATCAATGATGTGCAGATACTGAAGAGTATCTGACCATTTATAGTTCATAAATGTTCATATTTTTACTAATAACGTTTATTGGGATTGTTCTTATGTTAGGATTATTGTTATCGTCATTTTATAAATTGTGGTTTGTTTTCGATCAAGTTCTCTGCTTAATGTTGTTTTAATCTTGTTTTTGTGAAGCCATTTAGGCTATATCTCCGCATGAAATGTACTACACACATACAGTTACTATTTAAGTAAGTACAAACTTAAGTAAATGTATTTATAGTTACATCCCAGGACTGCAACTGATGACAGAAGTCAGACATTGCTTTATTTAATTCTACAGTACTTAAATAAATACATAATAAATACAGTTACTACTACATGTACAACCTTAAAACTTGAGTAAATGTATTTATAGTTTCTTTATTTAACTCTTCTTTAATACTACAGTATTAAAGTATATCTTACACGTTTATGTATCAATGATCCAATAAAATAATAAGGGTATTCTGCATAATAAGTTACTTTTTATACTTTAAGGCAAGACACTACAGCCCAAAACATTGTGTTTTTGTGCACTGGGCAGTTGTGAGATTTGGGGCTATTTTGCTTCCATAACATGTCAAAATACACTTTACCACTTTTTTCTCCAAAGGTTGGCATTAGATAATGCCTCTTTTGCATATTTAAACATAAAATGTCATTAATCTTGTAGGCCTATTACAAAAAATACATGTCTTTATGTAAGTGAAGTTTCAAGCTGATATCCATAAGTTTATCCACATTTTTAGCCTATTCACCTGTAGTGTCTCTTTTTAATTTTAAAATACATATGTTTAAAGGCCATTTCCTCAAAGTTAAATAGTTTTCTCATACTCTGAGCCACTACAGTTGCACTTTTCAGCTTTATCCCTCTTCTGAAGGTTCTTGCACATAATTATTCATTGACTAATTTATTGCTATAGGCCTAACCTATTTTCCTAAAAACATGGCAAAAATTGATTTTACTATGGCTGTTGAGGTTATTTTCTGGTTTATGGACTGATTAAAAGAGATTTTGACAACATTTGACTCTAATATGTTAACCAAATGAATCAAAACTTTATCCAGTGTTCCGATTTCTGTTCGGGAAATATATGCAAATCCCAGCACAGACCAGACAGACTGTACTTACACAATGCAAATCTGCATATTTAAACATACAATTTCTTACTTGTAACAAATAAATATTGTCTTAATGTAAGTAATCAACTGGAGAAGTTTCATGGTGACCTGTAGTGTCTGGCCTATAGGCTCCATTTGTTGCTGATAATTGTTACACTTAAGTACAGTTCCACTCAAGTAAATTGCTGGTAGCCTAATTACTTGGACTTAAATCTACATTTTATACTTCTACTTCACTACTTTTTAGTGAGAAATAGTCCTATTGTGCTTTGTGTTCCTCTACATTCACATGAAATCTAGTTAAAAATGACTTATGCTGCTACACAATATTGTATTAAATATTTAAAATTAACATTATTTCTTATAGGTGAATACATCAGTGATGATAACCACATATTGTATTATAGGCTATACATTCTTTATTACTACACCGGCAAGGGACAATACAGCAGAATAAATATTTTACTTTTAAAACTTTGAGCACGATTTCCTTTTTGTAGTACTTTTACTTAAGTAATAATCGGGAATGCAGGACTGCTGTACTTGTTACTGTGTAGCTACTGCCCAAAAGAGCATTCCTATTTTTTATCAGTTGTTTTTTTAAACTGATATGTATTTTGTAATGAACTTTTAAAATCCTATTGCAAAGTCTCTTTATTAACTCGATGACATTGTGCGCACTCAGAAACGTATTTTACTGTAGGTCTCTATTTCAAGGCTATTTGTTTCTGTGAAAAATGCCTGTATACAAATATGACACATAGGCTAATCTTATCTGGTAGACTTTTCTTGTCGGTATAAATTCTGTATAATCTTCCAATGGGAACAAACTGCTGATGTTTTTGTTCATCGCTTCTACTGCAGGACCACTGTTTAGTTACTTTTCGTAAAGCTTTATCATTTCAAAGAATTGTTTTCGTCTCCGTCTAATGATTTTCCACGTGTGCGGGTGTGTGACACTGCTGACTGACGCCGGCAGGGTTTCCCCCGTGTCTTACTGGAGATCGGCCGCTGTGTGCGCGTTGATAAGCTTCGCCGGAGAAGGCGGGCAGCGGCAGCAGCAGGTGCGTCCTCCTCAGCATCCCCGGCTGTGTCTCCGCCCTCTAGCTGCTCGCTATAGGCTGGGGGATTTAAGCGCGCCCGCCGTAATGATTAGGGCTTTCTGAGACTGATTGATTTCAAAACTTGACGGGTTTCGAGTTTCGCAGGTAAGACCACTTCGATATGCTCCCATGGCGCACATTAAGTCCAAGTTAGTCTGCGTGGGAGATCAGAGGGGGTTAGTTTTACTCAGCTTGGATAGACTCACCCTTCGCTAAACTTACATTACTTTCAAAACACATATCAGCACATTGCACTGCATTGCAGGACCTAACAGTGGAGTTTTTGCATGCGTCTGTTTGGACAGAGATGAACCAAGAGTTGGATTACGGAGGCTCCGGGAGCAGCGGTAACGGAAAGCTGCGCCAGTGGCTGATCGATCAGGTGGACAGCAGCAAATATCCCGGTCTGGTGTGGGAAAACGACGAGAAGAGCATCTTCAGGATACCGTGGAAACACGCCGGGAAACAGGACTACAACCGGGATGAGGATGCCGCGCTTTTCAAGGTAAAACAGCCGCATCCTCCGGTTCATCCAGCCACAGATACTTTCAGAATAAAAGTAAGAAAGTAGGTGTAACTATCAAAAAACATAGTTTTAAATGCGTTTAAAATCTCACAAAGATTTAAAGTGATATGACGGGAGACTATGAGAAATAATTGCCAAGGCTACAGTTAATATATATTTTTTTATCATAATGATGCGGCCTACCAATTCGAGTTTTAATGTCTTGTTATATTTCACGTTTAGTAGGCTAAAGCACTTTGCATTGTCGTTGTGTATGAAATGGGTAATATAAATAGGGCTGCAAAGATTCTTTTCATTATTGATTAGTGCCGATTACTTTGATTGATGTTTGGTCTATTAAATGTCAGAGGCTATTCTAAACCTAAAGTCAGTTTAATATTAAGCTATATAGCTTAGTTAAGAAAAACAGGAAATCTTTGCTTGTTCCTATAATGCATTTTCTGTTGGTGGACTACTTAATTAATTGCTTTAGCTCTTTAAACTCTGTAACAGGCTACCACAATGATAAGCTTTGTAGTAAAAGTTCCTTTTCTTACGAGGATGTCTATCTTAAACACACTTCTGCAGGCTCCGCAGTAAGCTACATGCAGAAGTTGGATTTTGTCTTATACTCTCAAGCTTTAGTAAGGTTTTTTTTTAAGTTTTACCGGTGACCTGTCTGCAGGCCTGGGCGTTGTTTAAAGGCAAGTTTCGGGAGGGGATCGACAAGCCGGACCCGCCGACTTGGAAGACTCGCCTCCGCTGCGCCCTCAACAAGAGCAATGACTTTGAGGAACTTGTGGAGAGAAGCCAGTTGGACATCTCAGACCCTTACAAAGTCTACCGCATCATCCCCGAGGGCGCCAAGAAAAGTCAGTCCCACCTCAAACTCCTCATATGTCAAACAACGCAGGTTGATACTGTGGCACAGCGTGAGTTAAAGGGCGTTGCAGCCTGAAGAATACATTCTTGAATTTAACCAAATAGGGTGATTTCAAATGAAGGCTTTTTTTAAAGATAAGATTATTAGTTGTTTTTATGGTGAACTCGTTTTGGAAATTCTCTGAATACACTCAGTGATTCATAAAGGTCACTGACACTGACTTTCAGAGTCAAGAAGTTCAAGCACCCCTTAAAGGTCATGCTGCATGCATGTGCAGAGTTCTGTATGTCAGATTTGTTCTTCTCTGTCTTGCATTTAGGACCCCGACAAGAAGACAGTCCCCTCAGTCCAATGAGCTATCAGGTGCACCCCTCCTATCCTGCCCTGCAGACCCAGGTGATTTTCATACACATGCAAATGAGTGGGGTGGACTAGAGAGAAAGAGACCCAGAGAGAGAATGAGAGAGGTTGGATGTGCAGCAGGATGAGAAAGCATACTGTGCATGTATGAATGACATCAGATATACCAGATGCCTAGTGGAGGTTTATGAGTTTCATCCCAGAGTTTTTACTGATACTGACGTCAAGTGCTGTTGGAAATGCTGAAATTTCAAGAATCATCACACAGGACCAAGAGAGTGTCCCATTTATCTGTGTTGTACAAGTTTAAGCTGTGATATTTTAGGCAAAAAGTATGTTAATAATGTCTTTTACTTAGTTAGACAGTTATGTATGTTTGTGCCAGGGTAATGAATTCTCCTTCCTTTCCTAAATTTAATTATTTTTTTATAATTTTAAGTAAAATTGTGACATTTTAACACATTTGTGACAGCTCTGAAAAAGGATGCTGTAATTGTAAAATGTAAACTACTAACTTAATTACTAATAAAGACTAACTAATTACAAACGATTTAAATTATATCACCATTAAAACCTGGTGTCCTGCTGTGTCCAGTACAGTGCGGTCGGATTACGTTAACTTTGCATGTTGGTTGTGTCTCTGTCTGTAGATGCCACAGTACATGCCCACACCAGAATGTGGCTGGAGAGATTACTGTCAGGATCAGGCCTCCCTGCCTGAGCTGCCCTTCACTCAGTGTCCCTGTCCCCCCCGCAGCCTGCCATGGCAGGGCCCGTCCATGGAGAATGGTACAATATATATATATTACAATATTAATGTAAAAGCATTAGCAACTTGTCAGTTTAAGTATTGCACATGTAAACGTTTTTCCTGCTGGTACTGAGCTCTTGTTTGTTCCTCTGTGTGTCCAGGATATCAGCTCAGAGCCTCAATTTACTCGTATGGTCCTGCTGATAGCCAGCCGTCGCCGTTTACACTGGACGCCAGCATCAGATCAGCAGAGGCGCTCTCAGGTACACAAACACTTTCATTTCACTTTTTTCTCTGCACGCTATGAAATCAGAAGGAGGGGATACTGTTGGTGCAGGTGACGTCTTCAGCTCTAGAATCTTTGAAACAAAGCCATAAATCAAGCAGTGAACACATCTTTACATAATATTTAAACACCTGGAGATATCATAATATGCCACATGTAAGTCCATATGTACAAGACTGTGCTTTGTTTATGGTCATATACAAAGACTATCTATTAAAGTATAACTTTTAAAGTAGTCTAATTTTAGCCAATATCCATTTAGACATCTTTAAAAAAGCTAATCAATGCAAAACTGCAGAGGACTTAATAACACTGCTCTGATATTGGGACAACTTGGAAGGTTAATACAACTGCACATTGTTTTGCCAAACTTAAAAATACATTGATTGAGGGTGCAATAATTAAACTTTTTTAAAAAAATCAATCATGAATATTTTTGATCTACTGTATATATTCAGAATCACCATTAGCATCACCTCCGTCGGCTGGTGTTTCGATACACCCACTTTACGCTACTAGCACCAAAGCCTGGGGATGGCTGTGTATCTGTCAGCTAGATTAGATTAGATTAGATTATTTTCTGCCCCTAGTGGCCCTAAATGAATTAACACAGCTTTAATGAAACCTGGGTAAGATGGCACTGTGTTATGACATTGAGAAAATACACTATACGCCTGATGGAGGCACTATTTTAAACTAGCTTCAGTTTAAGATTAAAATTTTGCAGTGATAATTTCAGACATGGCTGTTCTAACTTCAGTAAAATTTGAAGGCAAGACATATTTTAGGGCTTTGTAGCGATTCAAAACACTGACTGATGAAGGCACTATAATTAAAGTTTTCAACATTTCATCTTGCAACACAGAGCCTAACCTCAAAAGCAAGAGAGTCCAAGCACTAAGACATCACTTCCATATAACCATTCATAAGCTCTGTTCAAAGCTCTGTTCTGTTCACTGTTTAACTGTTTGCTGCTTCTGGCCAGAGAACAACAAACTTTAGGATGCAGCAGCATAAAGGCCAATAAAATAATTTGGGATGGGTTTTGATTAGTGATTTGAACATGGATGGATCAGTCCAGTCTTGGATGTTTTTAGGGATAGAGTTCCAGCGTGTTCCTATCGCCCCCGGTCTAATGTGGAGACGGAGTCGTGGAGACAGGAGGTTGGCAGTGAGGCAGTTTGTCAGAGTGGAGTGAGTTGTAGTAATGATAGATTTAGTGGAATTTTAGAGCTGGACGTCATTGGCATAGCAGTGGAAGTGGAGACCATAGCGGCGAATGAGCTTACCAAGGAGGACCATGTACAGGATGAACAGGGGAGGACCAAGCACCGAAGCCTGGGGGACACCTTGGGACAGGGGAGCAGTGGAGGAGGTGCAGTTGATGATACTGATGAACTGTTTGTGAGAAATGACCTTAGCCAAGAGGGGGCAGTACCAGAGATGCTGAGGGAGACCTCAAAGTGGGAGAGAAGAATGGTGTGGGTGATGGTATCAAAAGCTGCAGGAAAGTCTAGGAGGATGAAAATGTTGAGAT